CCATGTGCTCTCAAGTGGCGCCCTCCCGAATGATACGGCCTAACAGTTTCAATTTTGGGTAGGAGTGTAGTTTGGCTTCGCCATGACAAATCAAATAAGAGCCTGGAGAAAAAGCTGGCGTTACATGTATATAATTTTGCGTTTTGTGTTGTTCGCTTTGTCGTACTCAGGATTGCTGGCTACCTATGGTCGCAGGTGCGCTGATTAGGGGAGGCCTGTGTTACCGTGTTGAGGCTGACATATCCTGCACACGCATATCGGATATATTTGGGTTGCCCGCCTATCCGCCTTTCCCTGGGCAGAACACACACTGCTATCGCAGGTAGCGAGTTTAGGTTTTCTTATTTGCATTGAATCTTATCCCCGAATCTCCGAAGTTCCAATCGATTTTTGGTCTCCCGAGAAAGCAGACCCCGTGCACGTTTGGCTAGATCTGATGACCATCGGATCAGACAGCACCGCCCAGTCGCAGGATGCACCCATCCAGTGGATCGTGTCCATTCAGAAGGAAGCGCGAATGAACTTGAATAGTTTCAATCGAGCGCCAGTTCGCTACTAATGATAGTAGCCAGAAAATCCCAGATGAGCCTTCAGACCCACACATACACACAATGAGCATGCGTTTAACCTCGGGTTCATCATGTGTGAGAGATGTTGGTATCTGAACACAGTACACAATTTCGATCACATTTTTCGTTGCTCATCTCCAGCGCCGCGGAACCGCTTCAACAGGGGCGACTGGCCCCACTGCAAAACACAAAACATACAACACCAGGGATTCGCCGGTGGTCACCCACCCGACTACTAGTCTAGCCCTCACTGATTTATCGATGGGAGAGCGGACGGGATCCCGAGTTTTCCAGTAGGTATGGTCGTATGTGCCTGGAGAGGTTTGGTCTGTGGTTCATGTCCGGTGTGTGGCAATGTCACGGCGGTGATGTTGTCATGCTAGTATACAGTCAAACATCGGGAACGAAAGACTGCCTTGCAGCCCAGGGAATTTTTATGGTCATGTCTATCCATTCAATACGAAGAGGCTCGCAGGCGAAGGTATGTAGTGGTATGTTGGGAAACCAAGGCCTGCTTCACGACTCGAATACCCCAGAGGAGGTCGTCTTGCTCCGGCTCTTCTTTTGTGTGCCCACATTGGTCGTTTACAGTTAGACAGGAAATGTCGACTGGATTGAGAGACTTTCGTATGCTGAAATGAACGCAGAGTGCATTTGTTTTCCATGTTGGACCCAACCAAAACCATGATTGGCACAGCGATGAACGTCACATGAAATGTATTGTCTCAATGGCCTGCAACCACCAATGTCTCAACGACGAGGAGCTGCCGGCTATAACGTGCAATGTAGAGCTGGCCCCAGTCTCCAGGTTGGAGACTGAGCGTTTGTGTACTGGAAAGGCGACAATTTACATATGCCGACAGCCCACGACTCGAACCGGTGTTGATCATGTATACGAAGGGGCAGCTCCAACGACCATGTACCGCTCACTTTCGTGAATATGCACGACTGTTGGTCCCCGTCCTTGCTGTCTTACTCTCAAGCACGTTGAGCTTTTGTGTAAGATCAGCCGACATCCGACATGTCAGACGTCTCAGCCCTACGAGTTGGCTACGGACAGGCGACCTGATGGACACGGACGGGCCGTCATTGAGATGTTGCCACAGAAAGCACATTGACCGCCGTCAATTAAACTTGTCGACTTGACACCTCGAACAAAAAAAGAACAAATTCCCAGGTCAAATGTTCAGGAAGAAAAAAACGAAAGGTGGCGTCTTGCAGCCAGGATGAACACCATCCACGAGCTCGCTTCATGGACCCATGAAGTCGAGTGTTTGTTGACAAAACATCCATTTCCGGCTGACAAACCCCGCAGCAACACTGGTACGCCAAGACGGACTGCGGTCGGCACCATGTAGTCTGAGGCCGCAAACGGACGCACCAAGAGAAGGCACGGCGATTTCGCCTGACTTTCCTTTGTTGGCCCCCGGCGCTGGACCCGATCCCTCCTTCTGCTCCCTTGCTAGGGGTCACGACGGCGGGGGGCAACGACCTGCGGTCCGAGAAGATGTGCTGGTGAAACAGGCGGCTCCCCCCCCCACCGCATGTCTCACACGGGACCGCGGCCGGTAAGGCGAACGGCAAGAAAGAAGCAGCGGGCCCCCCGGAAATTACGGCGAGACAGAGGAAACCCTGAACCGAGTTCTGTCTCTTTTCTTTTCAGGTCCTGATGCTCAGCGTACTGGTGCTAAGGGAGCAAAAGAAAAAGGTGGCAGGGGCTCATTGTGCAATCGATGGTCAACCACCCTCCTCGGGACTTCATTGGCTAGATCCCCTAGGCGGAGGGGGCCAGAAGCCCAAGCTTCAGGAAAGGCCGGCTGCTGGCCAAGGAACGGAGGTGTGTGGTGTGTGCGAGTGAGTGGGCGAGGGATTTCCAAGATCTGGTCGCGCCTTGTGGCTGGAGATGGTGGTGGTCGAGATAGATCGGTCGATTCAAAACTCGTATCCGCAGAACAACGTCCGGTGTGCAGAGTGCATGACGCAAAGTGACGGTAACCAGGCGACGATGGGCTGCGGGAGGGCCAACATGGTGTGGGATCAGTCAGCGTACACGATTCTTGGGTAGGTGGGCAGTGGTAGCGGGGTCAGCGAGAGAGGAGTCGTAGTTGGTGGTGTCAGTGGATGAGTGGTGAGGGCTGAGGGCTGAGGGCTGAGGGGCCAGAGTCAACAGAGCCTCTTCGATCGACTGGATGGATGATGTCTTGGAGAGAGGGGAAGTCTCCCGAGGCGACCTATGTGGTCCTCCCAACCCCAACGAGCGGCCTCGTGTAGATCGAGGCGCGAACTGGGATGAGGCCGGTGCGGCGGATGGTGGGTCTCGGCAGAGGAGCTAAGCGATCACGACGAGAGCGACAGGGGCCGTGAGTCGACGCCTGGTGGTGGTGCCGCTTTTATAAAGAGCTGTCTTTGATCGAGCTATAGTTGACGAGAACTCAAAAACCAAAGCCATGAAGCATCCACCCTCCAGCCCATGGCAATAAGCATGCCCTAAAGCAGCAACGAATACTGGCCGAGCGTGTGGAGTGGCTGGTGCAAAAATAAAGCGGGTGGGAGGGCGCTAAAATCGGTGGCTAGTCTAGCGTGTCAAGTCCCAAGCGGACAGCAAGAGGCCATGGTCCATCCCTGCGCCCGCCCAACGCGCGCCGCCACCCCCCCAACAATCGCTGTCGTCGAAT